CTGGCTAACACGGTGAAACCCCATCTCTACTAAAAAATACAAAAAAAAAAAAACTAGCCGGGCGAGGTGGCGGGCGCCTGTAGTCCCAGCTACTCGGGAGGCTGAGGCAGGAGAATGGCGTGAACCCAGGAGGCGAGCTTGCAGTGAGCCGAGATCCGGCTACTGCACTCCAGCCTGGGCGACAGAGGCGAGACTCCGTCTCAAAAAAAAAAAAAAAAAGAAGAAGATTAGGACTAACATTTTGAGGGAAATAAGCCTGAAAAAAATTAATTTACGTGGAGGGCATAGGTGTTGAGATTCAGATTCCTTTCTGTTCTAGTTAGAGCACTGGTTCCTTTCTCAAATCAAAGAGAGATTCCCATGTAAGGGGTAAAGATAGTCCAAGTTCAGTTTCATGGACTAACTGTGTGGTTTTGGGCAAGATCTTCAGCCTTCTTGGGCCTGTTCTTTATCTCTGAAAAGAAAAAAATGATAAAGGCTTAAACGCTTGAGGTGTTGGGGATGGTCTCGATCTCCTGACCTCGTGATCCGCCCATCTCGGCCTCCCAAAGTGCTGGGATTACAGGCTTGAGCCACCGCCCCCGGCCAGTCCTAATCTTCTTCTATCTTGTGGTGTGAGACCTTGGATAAGTCTCCCTTCCACCTTTTCCTATTACTTAAATGGTGAATTTGCATAAACCAGGCTCTAAGGGTCTTTTCTGCACTGTTTGGCTGTCTACAAATTGGCATCCAAGTTTAAAGGAAGACCCCGAAACTTAGAAAGGTCAATGGCTTGCCCAAGGTCATATAGCGAGGGCCTGATGTACACATGTCAGGAGCCTGGGGCATCCTCAGCTCAGGAAAAGGGGCCTCCTGGGAGTGCCGGCGTCCACACGGGATCAAAAGGGTGCTCTCAGCCTTAAGAAGACCTCAGCCCGAGTTTTAGGTGTAGGCCTGGGCCGCTGCTGCCCTCGTGCGGAGGGATCCCGTGAGCATACGGCGCCATAGCCAAAGAAGCGGGCACTGGGACCATGACGCCAGGAGGACACCAGTCCAGTCCCGTTCCTGTAGGACCTCGTTTATTATTACAGGGCCCATTTAAGGGCACTTAGGCCCCACTAGGCTCATCAGAAAACCTTGAAGCAGTCCCTGGATTTAACCACTAATGGTGGGTTTGAGTACGGCAAAGCACCTTCTACAGGCCTCTCGCTCCCCATCTGGCAAATGGGCATCCTAAGCAGCCAGACACCCAAGGACGATAACGGGAAGGAAAGGCACCCTGCATTTATGTGCGAGGCGGGGCAAACCGCCTGAGTCACCGCTCACGGTTGTGTTTTTCCACCTCCCGGCCGCCCCTCCCATCCGGATGAGTCCTGGTGGGTCCTCCTGGAGGCGCCCCCTAGTCCCTTGCTCCGCACGCCCTGACCACGCCCCTTGACTCGGCCCCGCCCACAGCGGAATCCGCAGATTCGCCAGGCCGGATCCTCAGAATTCCTCGGGTCCCTCGATACCCGGCTGAAAATTATCATCGGACTCTGACAGGAGCTCTGGGCAGGAGGCATTTTCCCCAGGGTCAGAAGCGGGCTATCCTCTCACTGGGGCCAGTAAGAAAAATCCAGAAAAAGTTGTCGATTCTGCCAGCAGGGATTGGCTAACGGGCCGTTATTTTCTTGACTCCACCAAGGCGGATGAAGGGGAGGCTGCGGCTGAGGCCGGGAACAGTGGCGAATCTGCAGCCTCTCAGACTTTGGCCGTGCAAGGAAGGGACCGGGAAGAGGAGCAAAGCGGCGCGCATCCTGTCCAGGGATTCGCCCCGCCCGCCCGGCGAATCTGCGTCTCCCGAACGCGCCACTGAAGCTTCCCCAGCGCTGGCTGGCCTCCTCCCCTCTGCCCCGCCCCTTTTCCTCAGGGACTAGTCGCAGCTTTCGTCGCCGCCGATTCGTCAAGCGTCCCGGGCCGCAGCATCTGGATCGTCGTGGCGAAGCCGACTCTCCGGGGGATGCGGCCAATCTCCAGGCTCCCTGGGCCGCAACTCCCGAGCCTCCCCGGGCGCCGGCCGAGACGAAGCCGCTATCCCCGGCCCCGTGGGTTCCCGGGCAGCGCCTGTGGCGAAAGTGCGAATGCACACCCTGTGCCCGCTGGGCCTCGCGCAGGTGGCGGTGGTGTTTGGTGCGCGCGCCGGGGAGGTGGTGGTGGGGGGGCGCCGCCGCCGCCACCGCTGCGGGGCCGGGTCTCGCGCTGCCGCCGCCGCCGCCTCGCGCCGCTGAGGTGCCGCGCGGGGTGGGGGGAGGGGAGCCGCTCGCCAGGAGCGGGTGAGTGGGGCCGCCCGGCGCGCGTGCGCGGAGACCTGCTTGGGGGTGCAGAACGCGCCGGGGCGGGAGGAGAGGGCAGCGGCGCGCGTTCCCCCCACCCCCCGCCCGGATTCGGGGTCGAAGCCGGGTCTCGGTCTCGGTCTCGCGGTGTTTCCAACGCCCCGAAGAGGTGCCACCTTTCGGCCGGAGGATCGGGGCGCGGGGACGCGAGCGGGTGTGTGGGAGCCGTGGCCGGGCTCGGCCCGGGCCGCTGGCCGGTGAGGAGGCGGGAGGGGGCGGGGCCTGCAGGAGGCGGGGGAGGGGTCTTGCGCCGAGGCCAAGTGGGGCGCGCGCTAGGGAGAGCGGGAAGGTAAGGGGGCTCGAGACGGGCCTGGGGGCCTGACAGTAGAGTTGGGAGGTGGAGAGAGGCTGGGTTGTTGTGGTGAGACAGAGGGTACTTGGGGGAGAATCCGGGGGAGCCCCGGGTCAGGGTGAGGGGTGGAAACTGGAGTGATGGGAGAATCTGGAATCGGGGCTGGCCAGTGAGGAAAGGCAGGGGAATCAGGCCCAAGTCGTGACCCTTCTTGTGTGTCCCCCTTTCCCTAACAGTGTAAATGAGCAAAGATGGATCAGGAAGGTGGGGGAGATGGGCAGAAGGCCCCGAGCTTCCAGTGGCGGAACTACAAGCTCATCGTGGATCCTGCCTTGGACCCTGCCCTGCGCAGGCCTTCTCAGAAGGTGTACCGCTATGACGGAGTCCACTTCAGTGTCAACGTGAGTGCCCGGGCCTTTGCTTGCCATCCGGGGAGCTCCAGGTGCCCCTGTCTTCTGTGATTCTGTTCAGCACCTAGAATGGTAGCCTGCCTTCTTGAAAGTGGGCAGTTGAACCCATGTTTTGCATGTGCGTGTCCAGATGGGCTTCTTAGAGCTCCCCAGCCTGGATTCACCCTGAGCTGTCTTTCTGCTACTGCTTTCCTTCCTAGGACTCAAAGTATATACCAGTCGAAGACCTCCAAGACCCCCGTTGCCATGTCAGGTCCAAAAACAGAGACTTTTCCCTCCCAGTCCCTAAGTTTAAGGTACGTGTTTTCTGGGCTTCTAGTGTGGTAGTCCTAAGAGGGTATGGAGGATGCGTCTTGGCACTATAGCTGAATAAAAAGAGTTTCCAATGAAAGGGTCTCAGCCAGATCTAACAACCTGAGACTGTGAGACTCAGTTGTTCTGGACAGGAGGTACACTTAGTCTTCTAGAAAGGTACAGGTCAGGTGTCCTAAGTGTATCTCTGGTGGCTGGGGTGTTGACTTCTTGAAGGGTGAGGTAAAGACTGTTTAGCTGCTATTCCTATCACTGTGTATTCCTAGACAGTGCATAGCACACAACAGTGGGATCTCCCAGTTCCTTGACAGTCAAGGGGAGTGACAAGGCCACTGCCTACCTGGATTGCACTGTTCCCCACCTCTCATTTGGCAATGTCATTTCCATCTTGTTTCCTTCGAGGACTCCCATTCCCCACCCTAGGCAAGATATTCTTCAGGCCTTGAACTGGGCCTGGAACACTGGTGGTTCTTCATTTCCTTCTCTGATTCTTTATTCTTCCTTTTTAAATAAATTGTCTGTGGGGTCCCTTCATTCTTCTTCTTCACCTTTTTTTTTTTTTTTTTTACTTTGTACACTTTACTTGGACAATCTCTTTCACACCTACAGCTTCAACTAGTACCTAAATTTTGATGACTTCCAATTATCTGTTTCCAGCCGACATCTCCAGGCTTGTATGCCTGGTAGGGGGAGAGTTTCATTTGGAGGCCACACAGATGTCTCAGAATTAAGAGATTTAAAATAAATTATCTACCCCCTTAACCTACCTCTTTCATTTTCCGTCTGCTCATACGTGGCAGTACTGTCAACTCAGCTGCATAGCCTGGCAGCCTTTGATTCTCTCCTTTTCTCTCACAGTCGGTCACCAAGTCCTCCTGGCTCTTTTCCTTTTTATTCTTCATCTTTCTATTCTCATTGCCACGTAACGTAGATCTTGGTATTCATTTCATCTGATCTCTTTGCCTTCGTTCTTTCCTCTGTTTCTTCTCTGCCTTGCTGTCATTTGTCTCTTTGGCTCACTGCTCTTCTATTTTCCTTTTGTTGCCAAGTCCATGTTTTGGGGCATTGACATGTATGGTTATTGATCTGGCCAAGCCTTATCCTCTGACTTGACACCACACCCCTGTGTTGCATCCACACCATATGCTTTGCAGTTTTTCGAAAACACCAAGTTGTTTTATACTTCCGTGTCCTAGGGGTCCTTGTCATTTGATGGAATGTTAATCCCCAAATCTCAGTAAGAATGGCACCATCTTTATGAATTCTTCCCTGATTATACTCTGTACAAAGGTTTCCTTCTCTGGGCTCCAGAATACCATGTACACGTCCGCTGCCACTGAGTCGTGTTGTGTTTGTATGTGTATATCTTGCTACTTTTCTGTACGGGAATCTCTTCCTTTCTATCTCTGTATTTCCAGTGACTTGTTCACGGTAGTTACCTAATAAAGGCTGAGCTGGGGAATCATCGCTCTGCAGCTCGTTCTCTCCACGTATGTTTATTCCTCAGTATGTACATTTCTTTCTTTCTTTTTTTTTTTGAGACTGAGTCTCGCCTTGTTGCCCAGGCTGGAGTGGTGTGATCTCGGCTTAGTGCAACCTCTGCCTGCCAGGTTCAAGCAATTCTCCTGCCTCAGCCTCTTGAGTAGCTGGGATTACAGGTACCCACCACCATACCCAGCTAAATTTTTTTTTTTGTATTTTTAGTAGAGACAGGGTTTTATCATGTTGGACAGGCTGGTCTTGAACTCCTGACTTCTGGTGATCCATCCACCTCATCCTCCCAAAGTGTTGGGATTATAGACGTGAGCTACCACACCTGGCCTAGTTTGCACATTTCTGTTCTTAATTCTTGCTATTCTATGGTGATAAGAATTCAGGGAAAAGGGGTCAGGTCTGATGGATCCCTTATTATGGGCCCCTTCCCTTGCCCATCACTTTCCTGGATCTCTCTCTTGACTTCGTGGAGCTTGCTAAAGTTTCCCGAAGGACAAAGGAACAGTGGTCAGTGTTGAGACCCCATACCAACTCCTGTTCTTTCCCCAGCTGGACGAGTTCTATATTGGACAGATTCCACTGAAGGAAGTGACTTTTGCAAGGCTGAATGACAACGTGCGGGAGACCTTCCTGAAGGATATGTGCCGTAAGTACGGCGAGGTGGAAGAGGTAGAGATCCTTCTTCACCCCCGTACGCGCAAGCACCTGGGCCTGGCCCGTGTGCTCTTCACCAGCACTCGAGGCGCCAAGGAAACAGTCAAAAACCTCCACCTTACCTCCGTCATGGGCAACATCATCCATGCCCAGCTTGACATCAAAGGTGAGGACTCCTGTGCCTGCCACTCAGGCTTGGCCTCCAACGGAGGTTGTACATGCAAATGCCTGTCAGGGTCAGGCAGGCACCCAGGGTCATGATCTGAAACTGTTGGGGCCAGTTGTGTTTCTGAAATCAGATCAGATTTTAGAGTGGAACTATGATACATGGATTTGTGTGTGTGGTGTCTCCAGCAAGGTTGGGCAATAGGCCATAATCAAGCACATAACTATCTGTTTAAAAAAAAAAAAAAATCATATGAAGGGTTGTACTAGGTAGGATGAATAGATTGTAGTAAATCAGCCCAGGTCAGGTTGGTTGGTTGGTTGGTTGGTTTTTGAGACAGGATCCTGCTGTGTCACCCAGACTGGAGAGCAGTGGCGTGATCTTTCCTCACTGCAGCCTCCAACTCCTGGGCTCAGTCACCCCAGCCTCCTGAGTAGCTGGGATTACAGACACGCATCACCATACCTGGCCAACATTTTTTTGATTATTTGCAGAGATGAAGTCTCGCTACACTGCTCAGCCTGTTTTTAATTTTTCTTTCTTTCTTTCTTTCTTTTTTTTTGAGACGGAATCTCGCTCTGTCACCCAGGCTGGAGTGCAGTGGCACAATCTTGGCTCACTGCAACCTCCACCTCCCAGGTTCAAGCGATTCTTCTGCCTCAGCCTCCTGAGTAGCTGGGATTACAGGTGCATGCCACCACGCCCAGCTAATTTTTGTATTTTTAGTAGAGATAGGGTTTCACCCTGTTAGCCAGGCTGGTCTTGAACTCCTGACCTCAAGTGATCTGCCTACCTCAGCCTCCCAAAGTACTGGGATTACAGGCGTGAGCCACCGTGGCCGGGCTCTTTTTTCTATACGCTGTTCTATAACCTATATAGGTTTTAATGCCAGATTCACTGGATTTTCTGTGTTTTTTGGTTTGAAAATTTGAGATAGTAAAGGAGCTGTGAATGCAAGCGAGGTGATCTGGGCTTCTGTGTTGAGTGATGAGGAGCAGTGGGGTCTGTGGCGAGCTGCAGATTGCAGTATTGTCTGAAGGAGGCAGCCGTTAGTAGGCACTGGCCAGTTTGCAAGTGGGGATGAGGTTTAACATTCCTGAATTTGATTTGTAAAAGAAAGCCAGCCATCCTGGCTAACACGGTGAAACCCTGTCTCTACTAAAAAAAATACAAAAAACTAGCCAGGCGGGGTGGCGGGCACCTGTAGTCCCAGCTACTCGGGAGGCTGAGGCGGGAGAATGGCGTAAACCTGGGAGGGCCTGCTTTTCTTTTTTAAGCGGAGTCCGCTCCTGTCGCCCAGGCTGGAGTGCTGTGCCGGCATCTCAGGCTCACTGCAAGCCGCCTCCCAGGTTACCATTTCGCCAGCCCCAAGCCGAATCAGCGGCTAACAGGTGGCCGCCACCGCTCCGCATGGCCTAGTTTCTTTTGATTTTTTTAGTAGAGACAACGGGTGCCACCGGTGTTACGCCAGAGGGAATCGTCTGGCCTTCTTTACAAACCAAATCATGAAATGTTACAACCTCATCCCCACTGGCAAACGGCCCAGTGCCACTAACCGACTGCCTCCTTTCCCAAAGCAATACTGCCAATCTGGTCCAGCTCGCCCACAGACCGCCACTGCTCTCATCACATCAACACAAAAGCCAGATCACCTCCTTTGCATTCACAGCTCCTTTACTACCAAATTCAAAACCAAAAAAACACACGGAAAATCCCAGTTGGAACTGGCATAAAACCCTATAATAGGCTTAATGAAACACAGGTAAGAAAAAAAAAAGGCCCGGCACTGGGCCACCCTGTAAATCCCCTAGTACTATGGGAGGCTGAGTAGGGGCAGATCACCTGAGTCAGGAGTTCGAAGACCAGCCCTGGCTAACGGGTAAACCCCTATCTCTACAAAAAACAAAAATTAGCTGGCGTGGGGCATGCACCTGTAATTCCGCAGCCAACTCAGGAGGCCAAGGGCAGAAGAACGCTGAACCATGGGTGAGGGTTTCATGGGAAGCCAAGGAATTACGTGGCCACATGCACTCACGCCTTGGGGGTGACAAAGCCGAGATCCATTCATCCAAAAAAAAAAAAGAAGAAACGAAAAATTAAGAACAGCTGAGCAGTGTACCGAGACTTCATCTCTGCACAAATCAAAAAAATTGCCAGAAGTAACTCGGGTGATGCTTCTTATCCCAGCTACCAGGAGGCCTGGGTGACGAGCCCAGGAGTTGAAAGGCGCCAGTGAGGAAAAGATCCACGCCACTTGCCTCTCGCAGTCTGGGTGACACACAGGATCCTGTCTCAAAAACTAACCAAACCAAACCAACCAAACCTGACCTGGGCTGATTTCTACAATCTATTCCATCCAACCCTAAGTACACCCTTCATAGACTTTTTTTTAAAACAATAGTATGTGCGATATGGCCCTACTTGGCCAACCTCGGAGACACCACAACACACAAATCCATGTATCCATAGTTTCCACATATAAAACTGATCTGATCAAAACACAA